AATGGAGGGGAGTGAGCACAAAGTAGTTAGCGTGAGCGTACGCACTCTGCTAACTGGGGTGCGAACAAGTGTGTGGTCAGTTAGTGGTATGTATGCTGTGGGAGGAGAGCGGGAATACTCTCTCCCTAGCGCCGTAGCGAGTTAGCTTTGAGCGAGAGCACTCAGCTAACTGGAGGATACAACAGAACCCAACTGTGTGCAGGGAGAGGGGAGCGGAAACACTCTCTTCACTAGCGCTGTAGCGAGTTAGCTTTGAGCAAGAGCACTCAGCTAACTGGAGGATGGAACAGAAACCAACTGTGTGCAAGGAGAGGGGAGCGGAAACACTCTCTTCACTAACGCTGTAGTAAGTTAGCTATGAGCCAGAGCACTCGGCTAACTGGAGGATGGCACAGGAACCAATTGTGCGCCGTGGAAGGGCGAAGACACTCTTTCACTAGCGCCGTAACAGTTAGCTTGAACGGGAGCACTCAAACTAACTGGACGATATACAGGTAAGGAATTAAATGTCTGTAGTGAGAGGAGGGCGGAGACGCCCTCTTCACCTAGTGTAGTAACAGTTAGCTTGAACGGGCTAGCACTCAGCTAAATGGACGATAGAATCAGATAAGAAACCAATGTATGTAGTGAGAGAAGGTGCGGAGACGCTCCTTTCACTAGTGCAGTAACAGTCTAGCTTGAACGAAAGCGCTCAGCTAACTGGACGATAGAATCAAATGTTTGTAGTGAGAAGAGGGCGGAAACGCTCGCTTCACTAGTGCAGTAACAGTTAGCTTGAACGGCTAGCACTCAGCTAACTGGACGATAGAATCAGGTAAGTAACCAAATGTTTGTAGTGAAAAGAGGTGCGGATACACTCTTTTCACTAGTGTAGTAACAGTTTAGCTTGAACGAAAGCGCTCAGCTAACTGCGCAGTGACAATTAGCGAGAGCCCTCGGCTAATTGTATACAATTATCTCATTAGTTTGAGAATATATAGCACAAACAGCAAAACCGGTAGCGCCGGCTGACGTGCAGGAGCGTCCGCTCTTTACCGATCCGGAGCTCCTAAGATCCGAGCGGTGAACACCGCGGTCCCCTCCCTTGGGAGGACGGACAGCTAGCTCGTCGCAGCCTTTGGAGGGCGAGCGTCTTTCTAGCCCGCAGCTCCGATCTAACGATCACAAGGCTACAGATAGCGATGAGCTAGGATCTTAATTGTTCAGTAAGCTAGCTTTGGCTTCTACTCATAAAGTAGTAACCTACGCTGCGAGAAGATGAAAAGGACTGAACTCGTCGACGGCACCGGAACTTATGCCTTCCGGGTCGTACGAGGTCACACGTGACTTTGTTGATATAAATATTCGACCTACGCATGCGCGAGACAGAAGATATCCAGTGCTAAAGCACCGCCTCTGGCGGTCAGTAGGTATGAAATAGAACTATACTTAGAGAGTAAAAGTACTTATTATGCACATTGGTAAATTCCAGAATAATTATATGTTTTGATTATAATTATTGATGCACTAGTGTTTTAATCAAAGCTGGTAAAGGTGCGGCTAGTTTTAATTACTTTGAATACTGCAGGTAGCTTGTGAATTTACTCCAGTAACTAAAGTCTGATTTTAAGGGTTGTTTATATTTCACATCATTAATCCAAATATGTAAAGTTACTAATGGTACAAAATATATGTAAATGTACACGATATAGCCTACCTTTGAAATGTAGTGTCATGAAATATCTAAAAATGTACATAAGTAGGCCTACAGTACTTGAGTAAATGTACTTAGTTACTTGCCACCTCTGACCAGTGATGCTTAAAGTATATACAAACATACATTCTCTATAAAAAATATATTTTGGTATGGATTCTTGACACTTATTTTAGGCATTGTGCATAAATGAAGGTAGGAGTGTATGAGGGGTATTGTATACTATTATTACTTTAAGGTCTGCAGGGGGATTCTGCCGTTTGGTTTGTGTGGGTGTGGGTGAGAGACAGATCATAAGGGCTCTTAACCATCACTTCCTGGCATCAGGTAAAGGCAGTGGCGAACCGTCAGGGCCTTCAAGGTATTCAGAGAATACCCTGGAACACTCAGATAAAACAAACAAAAAATCGATTTAATTATATAAATAAAATGTATATAAAATGAATAAATGAGAATCGTATCTGTGTTGTTGATATGTAATATTAGTGTTACGTTGATTTGTTTGTCCTTCTCGGACCATGCACTACGCATTTCAGTGGTTTTGTGTTAGAAAACAAAGCAACCAATCAGATCTTGTTCTGGGTCTCTGGGTAGAATATCCTTCAACCAAGGTATTCTACATCCTTGATAGAATGCCCTGGGCTGCTTCTCAGGTCGACTATTTTCATTTCCTCGCTCCTCGGTCCTCGGTCTCACCGGAAGTTGATTTGCCTGCGCCATCTTGAGTACCGTCCCATGGCTCTTATTTCTGCCGGAGGACCGAGGATCGAGGAGCGAGGAGCGATAATGGAGGAGCGATAACCGAGGAACCACCAGACCATCCTCCGATGAAATCATCAGATACTCACCCCGCCCCCTTACTGTGCATCGCTCACTGATTGGACGAGGCAGTGCATGCACTGATCTGATGCTTCTTGACATGAGAGCAATACCCCAGCGGAGTGAAGAAAATACATGAACCTCACGGGACTCACTCCTCAGTTTATACCGTGTTTTGTTTCAATTAATGTATCATTTAGTTACAAATATGTGATCTGAACAAAAGTGGTCAAAAATCATTATTGGAAACATTTTCAGGATCGCTTTTTTCGTTTTACAGTTTCATTTATTGTCATTTCCATTCAGTCAGTCATTAAGTGCTATTACAATGTTAATGTGCTACATATCCACACAAACACACAAAGTGTGCAATCCAATGAATGTTAATCTAACTGGGTTTTGATAGATAACATATCTCTTTTTCTTCTCTCAATTATTTTATTTCTATTGTGCACTCTAATCAATATTAATCTAACTATTGTTCGTTTATACATTTTAAGAATGGCGTTTATCTTTTTTGAGAATGACTTCTTATTTTATTTCATGTATGTGGATCTACAACAGATGATACTAATGTGTGTGTCAGTAAATGTGTACTAACAGAGGCGGGGGTGTTTGTGGAAATAACGGGTACAGAGCTGGCTGCTGCCAGACGAACAGCTGTGCAGCGTCATCACAAACGGACGTCGCTTCACGTGACGCTCCGGAGGAAAGGACGTCCCATTGCTCTTAAAACTCATTTCCCTGCTTCTCGTGGTTTCCTTTCGTCCCTCCATGCTTCCCTGGTGGGAGGGACTAAACGCAGGGAAACGACGCAAGTGAGGGAAGCAAGGATTTCATTTAATCGACCTGAGAAGCAGCCCTGGGCTGCTTCTCAGGTCGACTATTTTCATTTCCTCGCTCCTCGGTCCTCGGTCTCACCGGAAGTTGATTTGCCTGCGCCATCTTGAGTACCGTCCCATGGCTCTTATTTCTGCCGGAGGACCGAGGAGCGAGGAGCGATCATGGAGGAGCGATAACCGAGGAACCACTAGACCATCCTCCGATGAAATCCTCAGATACTCACCCCGCCCCCTTACTGTGTATCGCTCACTGATTGGACGAGGCAGTGCATGCACTGATCTGATGCTTCTTGACATGAGAGCACTGAGCAGAGTGAAGAAAATACATGAACCTCACGGGAGTCACTCCTCAGTTTATACCGTGTTTTGTTTCAATTCATGTATCATTTAGTTACAAATATGTGATATATCTGAACAACAAAGTGGTCAAAAATCATTTAATTCATTTTTTGGAAACATTTTCATGATCGCTTTTTTCGTTTTACATTTTCATTTATTGTCATTTCCATTCAGTCAGTCATTAAGTGCTATTAAAATGTTAATATGCTACATATCCACACAAACACACAAAGTGTGCAATCCAATGAATGTTAATCCAACTGGGTTTTGATAGATAACATATCTCCTTTTCTTCTCTCAATTATTTTATTTCTATTGTGCACTCTAATCAATATTAATCAAACTATTGTTCGTTTATACATTTTAAGAATGGCGTTTATCTTTTTTGAGAATTAGTTCTTATTTTATTTTATTTATTGGGGTCTACAACAGATGATACAAATGTTTGTGTCAGTAAATGTGTACTAACAGAGGCGGGGGGGTTTGTGTGGAATAACGGGGACAGAGCTGCTGTCAGACGATCAGCTGTGCAGCGTCATCACAAACGGACGTCGCTTCACGTGACGCTCCGGAGGAAAGGACGTCCCATTGCTCTTAAAACTAATTTCCCTGCTTCTCGTGGTTTCCTTGCGTCCCTTCATGCTTCCCTGGTGGGAGGGACTAAACGCAGGGAAACGACGCAAGTGAGGGAAGCAAGGATTTCAATTAATCGACCTGAGAAGCAGCCCAGCTCTCATAGGAATGAATGAGGCCCCGCCTCCCACGCTGTATCCAGTTCTTATTATACATCCCTGGCCGTTGCACTGAATGAGAGCGTACGTTTGGACTGACAGTTTGATCAACCAATCATATATTGATTTGTAGCCAATGGGCGTATTCTTTCAGAGTTCCCCTCGGTTCCAGGGTACTCTAGAACAGTGGTTCTCAAATGGGGGTACGCGGACCCCTAGGGGTACGTTGGAGTACTGCAGGGGGTACGTGAGATGTATTTTATGTTAATGTAAAAAATAAACAATTTTAGGAAAAGTAACGAAGTTTGAGCAGTGTGGGTTTTATATTAACAGAGTTACACATATTTCAAAACGCGAAGTGTAATAACTGCAGTTTGCCTTCCTGTCACTGAGAATAACGGGGGGTGTGTGTGTCTACAGAAGGTCCAGTTGTGATAGACACGGTTCGCCACTGGGTAAAGGTGTGTTGGGGGCTCATCTTACAGAAAGAGAGAATCATACAGTAACAGACAATACAGGTTCCTCAGGTTTCCTGCTGGGTCCTCAGTAAGGTAAAAGTGGGCTTGGTTTCGCCTCCTGAGACTTGATAGTGAGGCGGAACTGAGGCCACGACCATATTTATGCAAAATGTTTTTTTTAACGTCCTCAAGATTTACGTCTTTCTTGGCAGGACCTGAATACAGCAGTGTGCTCCTTGTGACACAGATCACTAGCAGAAACCTGACACATGGACCAACCAGCGGGAAAACTACAGCTTTGTGACGACACAACATTGTGACTTATTACTTACAAAATATGCGAACATTTCCTACTTTAAATGTGCGGTATGTTTAAGAGTCGCTTCACCACCGCACTGGCTCTTATATCCGTCGTAGTGGCTGCACTGCCGCTGGACTGTGCCAACATAACATGTCGGGTGAGTTTAATAACAAATTACTATTTCATTATTTTTTACATATGAAGTGAAGGGCATGAATCTTCTTTTCATGATAAAGTTAAATGCAGTGTTGGTGAAAGGGTGAATCCCTAAGCAGTTTTGGCAATTATGTATTTCTCTTGTCCCTAATTTACATGCAGGAATATCAAGGAGGATATGAACATGGTACGTTTTATTATCAGAGTCTCATCCCAATAAAAGCATCAGTGTCAGCAGCCACAGGGTCTCTTGCTGTACTAATGCTCTTCTCTTGTCTGGACAGATCATGTTGTGGGACACTGCCCTGTGAAACTGACCCCAGCCATGTCCAATGATTCTGAGGGGGGTAACTCTGGATGTGTCATTGTTCATGTCTGGATAAAGACTGATGGTAAGGGGGTCTAACCATAGATGCAAAGTCCATTTTGTTATCTCAATTGCTTTACATTTTAAGATCTCTGAAGCTGTTTTCTTCCAGACCTTTGTAATGCCTCGACAATTGAAATTCGTCGTTCATCATCTGAGGAAATAATCAGGCCTATAAAAAAAGGGACAAAGGTTGGATATTTTACACCTGCCCCAAACTCTGCACACATGTAATATGTCAATATGAGCCCACCGTTTACAGTTGTTCAAGAAGGGAGAACACAAAGGTAACATGTCTCTTTTTCTATCTTTCTTACATAGTGCAAAAAAAAGCAAAGGAAACCGCATGAAAAAAAAGTCAAGTGTGAAAGTGTCTCACAGCCACACAGCAAAGCCCAATTTGATCTGGTAAGATTCATTTTCAAGTATACTCACACATGTCGTTGTGAATGCAATTCTGATGATGATGGTGTTTGTTATCTTTTTTAGTGGGAACTGGTATATAATTGTGTCCTAGATTCAGCAAATAGTGTTGTTACTGTGTCATACAAAACATCATCAACCAGCTGCAGTGTCAGCTACACAATACCAGGTAATGTAATAAGGATTTATCTCTTTTAGTTCAACAATTAAGATTCAAATCTACTGAGACCTGGACATCTATTTTGTATCACTGCACCGGCAAAGATCCCCCATTTATTTCCTGAGGGCAATATAAATGTTGAATGTCATCCTATTTCCCATCCAACCACATTGTTCTAGTGGTCTTGATTTGCTTTGAATGCCATATTATCGCTTTCTTTATCCTAACGATTATATATTATTAAGCAATTTGGGCGTTTAATTTTTTTTATCTCAATTTTCAACAATTTTTATTTGTTTTTCTTTTCTTTCTGCTACAATTGATCTTTGTTTGCTTTTGTCAATAAACTCTCCCTCGTTCAACCTCAAAGGAAATGAGTTGGGTGTGACACATTCTTTCTCCGACAGGTGATCAATTAAAAGTAAAACAAACAATAAATAAAGTGTCTGAAGAAGTGTCTTTGGTCACCACCAGCAACAGCTCAAACTCTTTTTGGTATAGATTTTACAAGAATGTGAACTCGACTGAAGGCATTTCATTTATTGTTGGCAAAATGTATTATCTTGTTTCCTATTATGATGGTGTAAACCACAGTTAACCTGATAATATTCACGCAGATGCGGGCAAACATGTATCACGATTACTGTATTAGATTTGCATACCCCTTCTTCTATGAGGAACCGAATCGTCTGCATTTGCTTTTTTCAAATGTCATCGTTTTTCCTTCAGTGCATCACACGTCTAAATGTTTTTCCTTGTCGACACTGATGATTACATCCTGTATATTATTTATTTCTGTGTGACTTAGATCCCATCCCAGACTTTGATCTGTCTTTGAACCAGTCGTCTAAATCCATCTTGGTGACGGTGGAGCCTGGAGGCAAAGTCAAAGCTAGATGGTGTTACCAAAAAAATGGAAATTGTATGGACTCTCTCTCCAGCCCAATCACTGTGAGTATCAGAGGCACATTTATCTGCATGTGTGTTATTTTGTTTCTACACACTAAAGAAAGTAAGCATTTTTTTTTCCCTTTAAGATTGATCCATCCCAGTCTCGATCAGGTCTTCTTAACTTCCCTTACCTGCTGCCTTGTATGTGTGTGCAGGTATTTTCAGCTCCATGTGTTCATACATGCAAAGTTATTACTTAGCCAAATAAGTCTGTTTTTCATACCTGTACATTGTCTGTGTTAACAGGTCTTTTACACACATACGGATGCCCGGCGTCATAAAAAGTGCCCATTTCAGAATAAGAGCCACACAGGTGAGTGTGACGATGATTCACGTCAGTCAGATTTAACCAAAAACATCCATAAGGGAATTTTATTTGTACCATTGTTTTGTTATTGATTAACTCACAAAAATGACTTTGTTATTCTTTCATATATTAGTTTGATACTGTTTACTTTGATACCGTTTTCTTTTATATATATGTTCGTACATTAATATCCACGATCGCATCATTGGATAAACCAGTCAGGCCACTTGGAGTCATAAAGTCATAAACATCTGTGTCCACATTGTTTGTATAGATGTCAGGGATGTTTGGCTCTCCTCTGAGGTCTCACTGTACGAGTCAAGTTTGAATTGGAGCTCCAAGTGTCCTGCCAGTGACCTGAACATCTCTGCCTCCCTCTGCTGGAGGCAAAATGAAAAACTCTGCACTCCTGTGCTCAACTCCACACTGGAGGATAGGAAAGTTGGGCAAAACCTGGTATGTTTGGCTTGACTGCTGTTGGTATTAGTAATACATTCCTGATTGAATTAAATAAAGCTTCAAAGAAACACTGTGTCTCCCCAACAGATATACAGCACATCTGCAGTGGACAAACACCCTCAGATGTGTCTGCAGGTGAGATTTAGCCAAATTGCATTAACCTATGTTCAGTTGCCTACCTTTTAGATGTAGATTCACATATTTGTTTGTGTTTGTGCAGTTGTCCCTACAAGGCAGTCAAGAAATCTATTGCCGCTTCGAGGCTGGTGAGTCAAACAGGAAAACAAACATGTTGCTTATAGCTGATCATTGTATTTGAACTGTCTGTTTCCCTCTCCTTGTCCTTTACAGGTATGTCTTCATGGGAGGTGTATATGGGACCAGGCAGGCAGAGTGTGGTTTTGTTTATCACCTCTTTAGCTCCTGCAAGCTTTTCCGCTCAACTCTGTGTCCTTAATGAGAGGGAGTGTGCACCAATGGGGCATGTCCACTCAGTGACAATTGTAAGCATACGTACATTGTGAGAAAGATGGTATATTAATGTTAATTTAAGTAAATATCTGACTCTTCTTATCTATCTTACAGGAAGCGTATAAAACTAAAACAAGGATACATGTGCCTCTTCTCTTCCTTGCTGAGAAGCCATGTGTGCAGGTAAAATCATGTGCATGCACGGTTAAGGTCTTTCTTGACATGCTGCGTGACCTTTCTCTCTCATCTCCCTCTAACAATTAGCTTTTTCTGCAGGTGTGGCAGTCACATCCTGCTCTACTTGGAAGAAGAATTATGTGCCCGGACTGTGAGTGTACTCAAGATGCACACATGAGCACAAATGCACTGCTATGTGTACTTTTGTAAAGTAAATAAATGTCATTTTCTATTTCTACAGACTCGCCTGACAGATGTGGCATGTATGCTGTGGCAGCTTTGGTATCCGTGGTTATTGTTGCTTTACTGGGAATGTTTATCCACCGTCTCAACAAAAGTGGAGCAGCAGGTTGGTTCAATTCCCTCTGTGCCTTTGATTGGTTGCATGTATAATCATTTTAATGATACTGTTGTACTGCCTCGATTTATTTGTGTGATTGGAACCTGATGGCAACTGTGGTACATGTACAGTCTGATGTGAAATTGAATTAACAAATTATTCAGAACATCTTCCTTTTCTCCCCTGTTTTTTCCCATATCCCTAGGTTGGCTGTGTATTCGGGAACCAGTGTTACTTGTGTGCTCATCAGAGCAGTCGGCCCACGTCTCTGCTGTGTGTGCGTTAGCCTCAATCCTGCAGGGGGAGCTAAGTGCCTCTGTGCACATGGCTCTGTGGGCCCAAAGCTCACAAACGAAAAACGGGACTGAGCCTGGGACTGGAGTGGCTGATCTGGGTCCCCTTCCCTGGCTGTACGGGCAGTGGGAAGCCATGCGGGAGGCTCAAGGAAAAGTGCTGATTATTTGGAGTCCTGAAGCCACGGAGACCTATGAGAAGTGGAGGGAGGAGAGGGCAAACATGCCAAGAAGTAAAAGAAACATGAGAGAGGAAGTGGAAGAAGTAAGTGGAGGAAGACTGGGAAAATGCAAAAGAGAGAAAGCTGCAGTTAAAAAAGAGTGTGATTATAAAGACTGGTACACACAGACTGAGCCCTCCACAGTGATCGCACCAGTATTTGCGGCTGCTCTGGCCTGCCTAGAGGGGGCGCTGCAGGAGTGCAAAAGTCAAGGAGTGGCCCTTGTCTACTTCCAGGGCCTCTGCCACAGCAGGGACATCCCAAAAGCCTTCAGAGGTGTCCCTCGGTTCTGCTTACCCCAGGATTTCAGGGGCTTTGTACAGGAGCTGGGGGGGATGAAAAGACAGAAGAGAACTGGAAAATTGAGGTGGAACTGCTTGCACAGACTCCTGGCTAAAGTGCAGTCAGTATGGCTCGCACGGCAGCTAGCAAAAAGACTAGAGACACTGCTGCCTCAGACGCAAGGAAAGAAAACGCAAGGGCCGAGTGACACGTCATCACTCAAAATAATTTCAGATAAGACCCAGAGCAGGCTCAAGTTGCCACTTGCAGCCAACATGGCAAGGTCAGGAACTGTACAAGAGCACGAGCCTCTCCGCACGTTGCCATGGTGAGCAGAGACACTTTAATCTCAGGTTTCACATGTCTGATGTGGACAGACTCTTGTTCTGCTGGAAACATGATAGGTATACATGAGACACAGAGGATTGGTGTTCCACTGCCAGTGCCAATCATTCAAACATTTATTATTTTACATTCTTTTTACTTGACTTTACTAAATGCGACCTGTTGTTGCTGTTGTTGCTGTTGTTGTTGTTGACCTATTGTTTTGTATATTAAGATGAGGTAAATACTCCGTCCTATCTCCTGCATGTTGCCTCTAACAGACGCTCTTTATGCTTCTTTAGTCAGCACCTACTCTATGTAAATATGCTTACCAGTAAGAACATATTTGCAAAATATACCTCACTTACAAATGCACAATACAGGAACTGACAAATTTGCATAGGTTTCTGAGCCAAAGCGGTTACAGTTGGAAAGAGTGCAACAGGTGGAAACATTTAGGGTATCTACTGAAGTGTGCTCCAACATTTGTCAGTTAATTCAGTTTTCATGTACCACAGGTATTGCTGTTAGTATAGTAGAGACCTATTATTAAATATGTGCACACATTACATTCTGAAAACAAACTCTGAATTTGAATACAGCACTTCTGTATTCAGCAAACATTTCGACTCCACTTGCAGAAGTACTAGTTCAACACTGTTTGCGTTGGAACATTATGTCTGGGAGATAATACAAATGCTATTTATATATATATATGAAAGAAATGACTTTTGCCAAAAAATAACTGATAAAAGTGCTTTTGTATTACAGAAATTAGTTTTTTCAGCATTCAGTGTCTCTTTTCGTAAGGTTCCTGTTTTTTCTTAATCCACTGAACAAAAGATTTGCCAAACTGTGGTATTCTGATGCTGACACATCTCCTTGACAGGAGAACTGAGGAAGTTAATGGTTATTTTCAGAAAAATCAACTCTAGAAAACACCTACTACTGCCAAAACAAGTTCAACACAGCTTGGTTCACGTCAGGTGAGTCCTCTGATCTGATGTGGATACTGAACCAAGTATCCAAGGCTAAAAAGTGTACATCACACAAAGTAACAAAGCTGGGTTAAGTTGCACAAAAATAACCATAATAGAAGAAAGAATAACTATTTTAGAGTAACAAATGTTATTTAAAGTATATATGATTGGATCACTCCAACTGGCGATAGCTCTCGGACATAAAATCAAGAGCTGAACCGCAGCGTTGTAATGTGTACCTTTGGCTTATGGCCATCTCGTTATCAGCCAAATGCATTTACAATATGCAAAATGGCTTTGCATTGTATTGTTGCTGAGCTACTGGACTAGATGCATAGAGTTAACACAGGTGGTAGAGCTCCATATCGTACAGCAGATAAGAAAAAATACAAATTAAAATCTACAACAGTGGACAACTGACATATTCTCTTTGATACAGATTAATGATTAAACGTTAGCACTCAAACTGAACACATTTATACAATGGCCCCTTCATCCATAACTTGGTGCAAAGGTACTAACCCTGTTACTAAAAGATGACAGGTTCAGTTCTTAACACAGACCATGTGGATTGACTGTTGTTGACTATTTGTACAGTATGGGGAACCATTTCACCTCCTACCAATCTATCGCTGTAGGAGTTTCTGTTAGATGCTTAAAGATAACAAAAACAACACATAATTAATCCTCAATAAATCTTCAGATTGGCCTTTGGCTTTATATATATATATATTTTTTTCATAATCTACATTTTGAAGACAGTGAGAACTTGTTGTGCATGCAGTGGTGGGAGAAGTACTCTGATCGTTTACCTTAGTAAAAGTAGAAATACTATGATCTTAAAATACTCGGTTTGAAGTAAAAGTTATGAATTAAAATGTTACTAAAGTACAATTTAAATAACTATTATCAGCAAAAGGTACTCCAGGTCAAAGTAAACTTCAAGTAAAAATACTCACTTCAAAGTAGTGTAATGGAATATTATTATTTATTCATTCAAGAACTTCATTGTCATTATTAAGGCACAACAAAATGTATTTTGTGCCTGTCCCGTTGGTGCAACATACAGTAAATAAAATAGAATAACAAATAAGACTAAAATAAATGTAACGACTCTAAAAGCAAGTAATAGAGAGACCAAGATGATTATGAATACATATGAAGCTAAAATGACTACACTAAATGATAGCACAATATGTACAGATATGGATTGCACATAAAAAGGCACTATATTGCACATAATAATAATAAGAACGTATTGTAGCCTACTGCTGTGTATCTTATTTGGTTTTTTATCACGAACAAAAACATGTCATAACATGTTATTGTTCATACTTGTTAGATTAGTAGGCCTAATGTAGTTTATTATATAAGCATATCAGAAAGATATGTAGAAAAGGTAACTAGAAAATTATAGCTAATATCTAAATAATGCAGTAAAGTAAAAGTATGCTTCCAAAATGTAGTCGATTTGAAGTTTATGTAGTAGGCTATAACACTGAAATACACCCTTACATTTGTTACATTCCCCCACTGTGCATGTGACGAGTTTCCTCAATCCCACCTGAGCAGGTGACGACACGCCCAGCAGCACGAGCTGTCATGAGGCAGGACACGAGGAACACATTTGGAACTTCACAACAGTTTGGCGTTGGAAAGCAACGGTCACAGGATTCTCCCAGAAATCAGCCCTGTCATGCTGTGCTGCTGGGAGGAACTACGGATAACGGGCTCCACATTTACAGATGAGGAGAGTGTAGTCTGGAGCAGGAGTCGTGCGCCGGGGAGAGACTCCAAAATATGGCTCCCAGGCTCCTCCGCGCGCCGCAGGTTTCTCTCCGGCTGCTGTCAGTAATGCGCTTCTGGCTCTTGATGTCCGCGAGAGCGCTGGAGATAATTGACAGAGACGCACCTGAACTCACCTGTAGCGAGGTAACAAGTCACAATGACTACGTTAATATGAAAATGTTGAATTGTATCCCGTGTTGTTCATAATCATGTGAATGGCGTTATACTGGAACATGAATAACCTGTTAATCCTTATCTGTGTGCATGATCATTGCATTCCTGATGTTTGTGTCAGCTGTCTTTGTTTCGATTACTATTACCATTACTTACAGCCAAGTTGTTTCGCACCAACAAAGAAAAACCAAGATAAGGTGTAGATAAGGCAACTATCCTTTTTATTTATCTTACTAGCCTACATGTAGCACAAATTGCATTAGTTCTTATCGGAGTTTTGACATCAGGATGTGATGAATACATGCGATACGGATAACAGACATATGTTGTGTGTTTAGGTAATACTTTATTTCATAGTTCATTTATCTTAACCGACATGACGCCAAATTATAATAAATGTGCCTATTATTGTTGGTTTGTACTTGATCTTTTGTTAAACCACATTTCCCATAGAATGTTCCCTGTGTAAGACAACAGCCAAGGACATTAAATCGTTTTTAGCCTAGGTTCATTTGTATTTAGTTCACGTAGATTTACTTTATAAACATTAGCCTGCTGTGACTGTGATGGACTACTGTTTGTTCTTGTCTATCAGAGTTTAATGTCCATTTCTTATTTACTATTAGGGCCTGAGTGTGACACCTTACTCCACTGATCCATTTCCTTCTTCATTTCTTCAGGCTTCTGAGGGTTGTTAGCTGTTTAGTTGTTAGGGTTGTAGCTTGAATTATCTTTAAATTTCATTTGATGTAAATCAACAGTTACAAATCAATATATGTATGACATTCACTTACAAGCACATAAGTAGAACTATAAATTAGAATCAAACTGAAATACATTTAATGAAAGTTATTGACAGTGGGTATATCAATGGGGCAAATGATAAAATCACTGATGGATACATTCCATTCCTGGTATACTGGTTCACTTCACTGTGCACTTTCATGGCTTACTGGGAAACTTTAAAAAGCGGAGCAATCATTTATGTTATTTGTAGCACAACCCAACATTTCTGCTGGGAAAACGGCCTATTTCTTAGTAAAATTGTACTTATGTAATGTAAGGTATACTGGTAACATACTTATCAATGTCTTACACTAAAACTGATGTTGCTCTCATTCATCACTTTGGTTATTAAAACATGAGACACAATTACAATTTTACCTTAATTTGTTCACCTTTTTGTATGTTCTAATATGTATAGAGAACTTACATTTATTGCAGTCTAATGGTAGTTGTAGTGCTGTTTTTACTAAAGGATCAGACTATCTCTTTTAGCACTTTATACATTTACGCAACTCAAAATGGTTGCTTCATTGTTGGCAAGCGTCATTCTTAAAATGAACTTGTCTTTCCTCAGGGATTAACTGACTGCACTGTGAGCCAAGGTAAAATAACTATCAACACAAATGCATCCCATATACCAGTAATACCCTCAGTGTTTGTCTAAAGCAGAACGTCTTCTTTCCACAGACCTTCAATTTATGACCAATCAAGATGGCACTATCGATGTTACAAATGTGCAGCTTAAAGTGATTCTGTGCTGTTCAGCCACAGACTGTGAACCAGGCCTGCAAGTCCTCATCACAGTACAAGGTATCTTTGTTATAAATCTTTTGACTGTCAGCTAGGGTGACATACCTTGAATTCCTTGCACATTCAATGTTTTGTTGGCACTGCTGTTCTCTTAACAGCTTACTGTTCCCTGCATTGTTATCATAGTTGTTTATCTTGGCTTTATAACTATGTGTTCTCCATTGAAGTACTGACTGTCAATGTTGTTGCAGAAGTTGATTTAGTAAAAGAGGCTTCTGATCAGTCTGGAGACCGCAGTGATGAAGAGAAGTTGTCTAACACGAATCAAACGGCAGAAGGAAGTGGCACAGTTCCAGAGCTGAGAGGTATAGAACAATACACACACACACACACACACACACACACACACACACACACACACACACACACATACACATACACATACACACACACACACACGGTATTCTATTTTCACATGGATTTTCCTTTTTTCCAATGTAATTACTTAGCAAACTCATCTTCTGTACTTTCTGTGTTACAGCTACGGTGATAGTATGTTTCAGCTCTCCAGGCTCCATGGACTTTTGCAAGACACTCCGGTTTAAACCAAGCTCCTCTGGTTTAGATCAAGCTTCTTCCCAACGACCCAAGCATAAGGTATATGTTAGGCAGAATTACCTCTGTTTAGTTATTGTTTCTGTGGTTGAATAATTAATTAACAAGTCTCCAATGGTGGAAAGTAACTAGATTTACTAAAAAAACTATCATAGAGGATGCTTACAATATTTCAACACTTAAAAGCAGGATTTTAACGCAGGACTTATATTTGAAATGGAGGATTTCTTCATTGTTGTATGGGTGCTTTAACTAATTCTAAATACTTCTTCCACCACTTCTCTTTGTCGTTAAGTGCTTTTTGTTATTAATACATTATGTAAATACTTAATGTTTACCATATGTTTACCGAAAACAGCTGGTGTTGACAGAGGAAAAAGTGACATTGGGCAATCCCCTTGTGGTTCGAGTCTCAAGTTCAAATAAAATGGAAGAAATCACCATCCCATCTTTGGAAGAAGGTAATATTATGCTCAGCCATGTAAGCAAAGACACACTGAATTTCAGACTACTAATGCCACTGATCACCCAGTCCTTTTTCTCTTTTTCAGTTTGCTCCATGAATCTAAATAGGACTTTAAAGAAGTGTGATGGTAAGATCTGTTGTAAAATATAAAACTGCTGTATAGAGGTTTTAAAAGTGTGAGGCGGGTCTCAGCAGGGGGCTCCACATAGTTTTTACAAGCTTTTTCTTGGAAGAGGAGGGGAGGCTCAAGGTCTCAGATTTTGATAGACAAACATGAATTGTGCATAACGACACGCATGCACATGATAGTTGTACATACTTGTAGAGTGATACATCTTACTTGTAAATCCTAATGATTGATTTCTCAGTTCCCAGACTCCGATTTGATCATGAGAGAAATGTCGTCGTCCTCCTCCAGAGAGAAAACTCTAACGTCACTGATGAGCTCATGGTTTGGAATCACCAGACTGGAGAGGTTATTGTGTGGGTTAGTCCATGCTAAACCTTCACATCAATTGCAAGTTACATAATCAATAATGTTTGTGTTTATCTATTTAACCTTTTTTTTTTTTACCTACGTTTGCAGCCCAAAGACGACAGAGAGATCATCCTTCCGTCCAAATTTGTTGCACCATGCATGTGCTTTCAGGTATCTGACATTTGAAGTGTAGGTGGCAAGAAAAGCTGAGCTACAAACATTAAAATAAAAATATATATATTTTAAACCTTTCTTTACAGGTATGGTGGAAGAAAAATGAGCTTCGAAACGAATACTGCCCTTTCCTAAACCGACAAGGTAAAGAGTCTTTCAGATTACAGATAGGTCACATGGGATTCATTTTCATTGGTATGATTTCACAACATTGCAATCCATCTTTTTCAGATGTGCTGGAAAGAATGCAGCACAATGTGTCTGTGTCTCTGAAGGAGTCTCTGCAGAGGGGGGGAGGCTCTGTGCTGATCTGGAATGTGACGGCCCCCTGCAGGCTGAACGCAGAGGTGAGCCTGTGCAAGAAGGACCCTGCAGGGGGCCGCTGTGAAGAGGTGAAGGGCTTCAGACAGGAACTGCACAATCATACTGGCTGGACGAAAATACGCACTGGATATTGGGTAAAAACATTACGTTGCTGTCTTTGCAATCTGTCACAAGCTCATTTTTGAAAAGGACTTAGATCCACACTTATTTGTTGTACAGTTTGAATATACTTTTATTTCCCTACGTTTCTAACTGTATTCATGCTTTTCTTTGACAGCTATAGTGTATATTAAACCACCCAACAGAATATAAATCGGTTTAATTTAGCTCCAACTCGACCACATTCATCATTAAAAACACTGATTGCAAATGAATGCATTACACAGTAATCCAATAATATAATAATAATATACAATCAATATAAAAAAAATTCTGACTAAACTTTAACTTCTGATACTTTACTAACATTATTCTGACGATGCTTATGTACTTTTACTTTAGTAACATTTTGAATACATGTTAAGTATGTTTACATTGTGTCATCTAATAACTTAATCCACCACTGCACATCCTAACTACAACCATGATCCTTTGGGTTTACCTGCTTTTATTATTAACCATAAGTAGGATATGCTTTATAATATTGCAGTATAATTAACATGAATCTTCAATATGTTTTTTTATTTATTATTCATTTACTTTTCAGAAAACTGATACGTTCAATATCTCGTCGCATCCTCTGCTTTGTGTTCAGGTGATTTGTGTTGATTTAATACATATATATCCACATGTGCAAAAATGTGTCACTGCTCATACTACATAACACTGTGCTAACCTTAACTCTTTAACTCGTTTTTAGATAAAGATACAAGGGATCGAGTCATACTTAGAGCCACAGTGTCCATTTGCAAGTAAGATTATTAATTATTATCCAGACTCAGATTAACTGTGTTTAATGTTTAACTCTCCTCAGTTCGAAATAGCTACATTGTTTCATTTGAAGGTGGTAGATAAATTATCTCACATTCACACTTGTTTGCTCAGGTCTGTTAAAAGTTCTTTATCGTGCTTTTCAAAGGCTTCTGAACTCAATTATTAATTTACTTTCCAGCATCTCGATGGAGATGGAGCTTGCCACTCCTCATCGGACTACTACTGATGTCTTTGGCCTTACTAGGGGCATATCTTATGCAAGGGGTCCTGAAAGGTCAGTTTTTATGATATCTTTGCTGATCATATAATATTAAAAGCCCCTTAGCAAAGTCCCTTAATATGTAAATCTGTTTATCTTCTAGGCTACATGTGGAGATGGTTGAAAGACGAAGATGTTAAAGGTACAACAAAGCTTATTTTATACTATTACCACATTCTCTTTCCACTGTTAACATTATACTTCCAAACTTTTATTTAAAAAATAGCGATATATGAATGTCTCTTATGTCCTGAATTCTCATTTATATTTTTTTGAGCCACTGTTTGCAGCTATTGTGGATTATTCTTATCTGAAGGAATTACAAATAAATATTGTTTAGCTGTTGGACAGAGCAAGCTGTTTCAAGTTGTTTTAAAATCAAGCTCACCTTTTTTTCGTGGCTGTAGCTTCATAATTAACAGATTTACCAGACATGAAATGTTATCAATGGTTTCATTTAACTTTTTACTGTTTCTAAAAAAAGGTTTTAAAATTCCTCTTTTTCAGGTGCTGTGGGTGGGGGTCATGTGGTGTTGCTGTACCCACCTGATGACAACCAGGCTTTGCCAGAGATGATGAGTCACCTGGGCTCTTCCCTCCTGGCTCTGGGCTTCACCGTGTCTCTAGACCTGTGGAGTCAGACTGAGCTGAGCGTTTTGGGCCCTGTGCCCTGGCTCCACTCAAGACTGAACCGGCTGCAAAAGCAGGGGGGCAAAGTGGTGCTGGTCCTCACCCAGGCTGCCTGGATAAGGGCTGAAGAATGGGGGGCTCGTAGCTCGGAGAGAAACAATCCACACAGAGACATAGAGGAGACAGGAAGAAGCTACACTGCGTCTTCGCCCTGTGTAGATGTGTTTACTGCCTCATTGAGCTGTATCCTAGCAGACTATTTACAGGGCCGTGCCGGTGAGCGGTTTGTGTTGGTGCAGTTTGAATCACTTCCACCTGAGCCTCCCGGTGGTTTTCGGCCACTGCCAGAACTTTTCCGCGGCCTTCATGTCTACAGCCTTCCATCCCAGAGTCTGGGTTTTTTGACAGAACTGGCAGGTGCTCGGCAAATGGCCACGGCCTCAGCCAGACGGAAAAGAGCAGGCGGGCTCAGGATGGCGTCCAGAGCGCTGGCACAGGGGCTGTCAGGGTTCACAGCAGGGACAACTGTATTACGCCTGGCAGGAGTGTCCCAGAGCTGTGTCGGGGTAGGGGTTGAAGACTCAGGGGAAACAGTGCCCTTGCAGCAATGTCTTATCACGCCTCCCTCGAGCACTGACTCTAGCCCGAAGCTCAATGCGATGGAGTGGGTCTAACAGCAGGAGGGGATTACTAAAGGCTTCAGGTTTTGAATGCCAGTAAAGCGTTGAAGTGATACTCTGGTAGAAGTTCAGATAAAGCGTTATCAATTTGAAGGATTTGCATTTGCTGGTCTAATCCTATGGGGTCTGGTTGAGAAAAAGGGATAAAGTTGTTCATTTTCTTTTTATTAAAACAGTTCTTATAGCTTGAACTATTGCTGCTCCAGAGCAATAGAAGCACATAACACTATACCTCACACTACTTCTAAAAGAAAACTCTAATTGATGCACAGCTTGATCACCAGCTTGAACATGGTTTGTGATGAATATAACTTATTTTGAAATCTTCATACCGAAATTACATTAACATACAAAACAATATTCTCAAAGAAGTAAATCGCTCTTCTGATTTTTCCTAACAATATGTTGTTTATTTAGGCTGTTGACCAGTGTTAAACTGTGTGTGTTTGATACAATTAACTCGTTTTTGACATTCTGCATGCACATGTATTGAATATAAATGCCAATAGAGACATGAAGATACTTGTAGCAGCATGGTGAGTCTGTTTTATACTGTGTTTTGTTTTACAGTTAATGTGTGATCGAATAAATAGTCTGTCTGACTCAGGAAGTCAGATTATCTTCTTATTACAAAACAGTTTACCTTGTTAAAAACATTGCATGACCTATGTGTTTGCAGAGCAGCATACTATAATTGTTATTCAATGTTATTTATTCTATGTTTCTTAACAAGAGCTGCAACTGCATTTACGTCAGGCACCCACAAGTACAAAATATAGGAGAGATCATACAACTAAAAAGTGTATAAATATAAATTTAAAAAAACACAAGGTATGGAATCAAAACAATGAAGTGAGACAAATACGTATCACATAATTTTAAACAAAAAGAAGAACATTTAAATAAATAGGCCAAGTACAGACATTATAAAAGATTAATTAATTTGACAACTGGGGATTTCATCAGTTTGTTTATAATATTCTAACAACCTTTTTTTAATTGTATGTAAGAGCAAGAAAGTTAAGCATTGAGAACATTAAAAAAAGTAAGTTACAGGAAAATAATTCTGAACCTGAAAAGTTATTTTTATTAATAAAACATTTGCCCAAATAAATGGCTAAATAAACATAACGTGTGTGTACTTAGTGTGACCTGACACTCAGTCAGTAGTATAATAGATGTTGACTGATTGGTGGATGAGTTAAATCCCAGCGGCTTTGGGCGGTGCCTCACCCCGTGTGGCTCAGCTGGAGAACAGTGGACCAGCTGGAGGCTGTTCATTCATCTATCCCGACCAGGGTTAGCCTCACACGAACCTGCATATCAGTGTTAGCTAGCTTATCATTTAGCTGGCTTACAAACAAACAAAATGGCACAGTTGAGTCAATAAAAGTGTCAGTCCAACATGTGAAAAATCTGCGGCATTGTGTGAACCAGCAGGGACTCAGACAATCATCAGCGCTGCGGAGGAAGTGGTGGCTATCCAATAAGGTAAGACGATGATAGCCAAAAGTAGCAGTTTGGCTAGCTAATATCAGAGTAACTGGAGTAAAGATCACTTAATCAGATACTTTTAGGTTTAAATATCGCGAGGAGAACGCAGTTGCTGAGTTTGATAGAGTTTAAAGAGACATCGGACGGATTAGCAGACAATAATAGATCATGTTAGCTTAGGCTAGCAGATAGCAATTGACCTTAGCCAGCTGCTCATTTTGTGTGGTGCTGATGCTGAGCTAGCTAAGCTAACGCCTCACACCCGGAGGACAGCATCCCACTATGCTAACCGTGGTTTTGGAGTAAACAAGAAAAGAAAAAACGACTTATCAACAGGCCACTCACTGAGCTACCTTGAGAGTTGCATTGTTTTTTGTTAAAATATCACCCAAATCTTAAAAACAACTTGCATAATAATAATTGTATATATTTGGCGTCAACAAGTCAATTAAATACAGTACGGCAATATAGTGCAATCGAGTTAAAGTACAAAAAAACCCTACAGTTTAATAACAGCTTCAGTCATCACTACTAAAATAAGTTCTAAACCTTTAATTTGCTAAAGTAATGCTACATGTAGCAACATTATATAGTTTATTACATGGCTTTCTATTGGATTGCTTTATAATTTATCCTATGGATGTTCTTGCCTCCTCGCTATACAGTAATATTTCGTAGCATACAGTTGATCCACATTCATGGTCTCAAGAAAAACATGATAAATAAAGCTAATCTGAAAGTAACAGGGCATTTAGGTTGATCATTGAAAAGTATGTAAATCTCCACATTTGCCATACTGATTTTGTGTTGGTGTGTTTTTCTGAAGGATCATGTGGTGGGCCTGGCCGTTCCTGCCTGCTCTGGTGCTTCTCTCAGAGCTCTCTGTGGTGAGAGTCCAGACTGCGCCGTGCCAGACCTGCCGAAAACTCACAGAGAGTTTCATCAAGGTACTGTACAGCAGGAACTGTAATTCATGCTTGTCTCCATGAGCAAAGTTCTATTTTTCCGTATCCCTGAGTCTCAAAACGTCCCTATTTTCAGGGCTTGGAGATAACGGCCAACAAGAACTTTGGGGGTGGAAACACTGCCTGGGAGGAAGAAAAGCTGGCTAAATATGAACGCAGGTAAGACAAAGTGCTATTAAGAGTCTCACTTACATTGTATTGAGTTACTTCTATCCATGGTAATTATCAAAGTCAGTCAGTACTTGCTGAGTGTAATGAATCTGAATCTCAGTGGACAAGAGTAAGGCTCCATCAGTCTTCAGGGGGTGAGACAGTAAATTATCTTTTAATCTACTTATCTTGTCTTGTGTTACATCTCCAATTGTTGGTCTTTTGTTTCAGTGAGACTCGCCTCCTTGAGATAGTAGAAGCTGCTTGTGAAAAAGCAGATTTTGAATGTAACCAGCTCCTGGAGCAGATAGAGGACCAAGTGGAGACATGGTGGTTCCACAGGTAAATGTAAAATATGTGTTAGGTAGTATGATTGAAAAAAAAAACATTCCGAGGTACACCAACAAAAATGATTTGATGATTAATTACTTTTCATTGTTTAAATATTCTATTTCGTTCCCTCCCCATAAATGACAAAGACGAACAAGACATTTTACCATTCTCTATTTTAACTTGTCCTGTAGGCAGCAGGAGGCACCGGACCTGTCTGAGTGGCTGTGCATAGAGGAGCTGAGACTCTGCTGTCCACCTGGACGCTTTGGACCTGACTGCAAAGGTGTGATATTTAAATATAAGCTTCCTGATATGAGTGTTGATAACTTAACCATCAAGAGTGATTAAGACTTCATAATGGTGCAAAATCCACAGGCTAACTCAGAGCTTTGGTTTTTAAGAATACCTCTAATAGGATATTTGTCCGACACAGAATGTCTGTCCAGCCCTGATGGTGTGTGTGGCGGTCTGGGCCGCTGTGAGGGGGAGGGGACTCGCCTCGGAGATGGAGAGTGTGTCTGTGATCCCGGATACTCGGGCCATCTGTGCCAGAGTTGTGCGGATGGCTACTACAGGGAGAAAAACTCCAACAACAGCATAGGAGCCTGTGCAGGTGCCCGAGATTCAGACAACTGTTTCAGCTCTCTACGTGTATTTAATTCAGTTTGAGGTCATCTTAAATTGACCTTTCCACTGTCTCCTCGTCTCTCACCCTTTGTAGCTTGCTACCACTCATGTAAGAAATGTGCAGGGCCACAGCACTTCCAATGCCTCGACTGCAAACCCGGCTGGATCCTTCATGACAACAAGTGCGTGGGTGAGTTTGGCTTTAGCTGTCATGTGGTAGCATTTCATCCACTCTTGTGCTAGTTTTCTGGATGTGTGTTGTTTGACTGCCCTTGTTTGTCTCTTAGACATTGACGAGTGTGGAACAGAGCTGGCTCGTTGTCCTTCTAACACCTACTGTCACAACACAGAGGGAGCATACGAGTGCAGAGGTACGATCAGTTGACATTTTGGTTGCTTTTGACAGTATACTAGTTTTTGTACGTCATTTCAAGATATGTAGGTTTTCTGCAGCTAGTTTGATTTTTGATTATTTTTTAAAAGAGTCAGGTTTTCAGTTACAAGAAATTGTAGAAATGAAATTGTAAAATACTGTGATTAATCAATAACTTAATATGATTATTTTTTGTATTGATTAATCTGCTGTTTATTTCTTTAATAATTGATTTGTAAACATTTTCTACTGTGTGACAAATTCAGTTATTTATACAATAAAGCACTTGATACCCTAAAGTTTGGTGTGATGTTGACCACTCTGTTTTGTCGTATCCAGGCTGCGACCAGGCATGTGTTGGCTGCATGGGAAGTGGACCTGCTCGCTGTAAGAAATGTTCCCGTGGCTACAAGTTGAAAGGAGCAAAGTGTCTTGGTAAGAATATACCGCTTTTCTATTTTATTTCTGTGTCACACCTTTGTACTGCGGGAGTCCACTGTATTTGATTAGACTCAGACAAAATATGCCCCAAATCACTGTGTATAGAAAGTGACTTTATACGTGATGCGCACCAAGCTCGTGTCTAGATGGTTAACCTCAATTTGCAAAACTCATAACTTGACGGTTAATGTTTAGGTTAGGTCGTCAGCAAAAAGTCTTAATAGCTTTTTTTCATTTTGGAAATCGAACACAGCTGACCAAGCTGGATGTGCAACAAGAGGGCTGGAGGATTAAACAAATTTTAAAACGCTGCTCACATCAAGACAGGACATTTTACCTGGCGCTTGTCATCAATAATAAACATCGGTACATTTTTATAATTTTGTTAAGTTCCACTGTATTTAGATATCTATGTTTATAGACTAAAACATTGCTGCCGTATTTATGCCTTATTGAAATTATGGTTTTTGTTGATGGACCAGCTACAATGTTAGCGTAGCCCAGCATCATGATGTAGTCATTTGGACAACCTTTTGATTTTTAATTACAATTAAATCACCGTAGAATCTTTTTTATGGGTTCACATACCGCTGTAGTAAACCAAATAGCCATCATAGTTCACACAAATGATGTCAAAAGTAACAGAGAACTGGCTTTCTTTTCTTCTCACAGATGTCAATGAATGTAGTGATCGTGCAATAGCATGCCCAGGACTCAATGAGGCCTGTATCAATGAGGAGGGGTCCTTCCACTGTGACTGTGCTGATGGATTCATTCGAAGAGACAGCATATGTGTTGAGAACAAGCCTCCAGGTAAGCAGCCGCACCACTATATGTCCAAACACATATGCTGACAGCTTCTCAGATCTGTTGGTAACCTTTCTTTATCCTCCTCCTCAGCTGGCCCAGAGAAGGGGCTGTTTGACGACATGACAGACGATGAAGTCCTCGTGCTGCAGCAGATGTTCTTTGGCGTTGTTATTTGTGCCATAGCTACACTCGCTGCTAAGGGTGACATGGTTTTTACGGCCATTTTCATCGGAGGTGTAGCTGCCATGGCCGGATACTGGCTGACAGAAAAGGGAGACCTAATGCTGGATGGATTTATGAAGGGACGCTAGACTTTCCGGAGCCTCGATGTTAGAAAGGACACCGGAATACCGGCCAGGTCAGGTGAATAAGACTCAACCGGGGGGCAGGAAAGTATCCCTGCAATGCTAACCTTTCAGGGATTTACTTTGGGAGTTACTTGAAAAGACTTGGTTTCATTTATGTTTATGAATAGGATAATGCAAGAAAAAGGGAGAACTTGAAGGCTATCAAGCCATTAATCTTGGAAGAGGAATGACAAAGCAACACTGCACTGATATAAAGGAGATGAACTTAGTCCCCTAACTCAACTCTGTTGGGAACAAGGGTGACATGAAGACAACTAATGATTGTTAAAATCTGTTATGCATTTGGATGTCTCATGCCTCAACTTTGAAATGATGTCGTTTTTTCTTCCACACTATCGAAACCTCCAGTCATCATGTCCATCATGTTTTTTATTATCTCAAAGCTGTAAAGCAGAGGGTTTCCCATGGGCTGATTGTGAGTTTTATCAGGTTACTGCAGCACCCAAGCTACTTGCAATAGGCAGAGGTTAGATAAGGGAAATGTTAGGAATTTACTTTATCGCCCAAAAAGGAGAGTTCATTGAAACCCTGGGATGTTTCCATTATGAGCTCATGGTTTGTTTATGTTCACAGAACTTTACCTCTTTACCTGCTGAATGATTCTTTTTAGTAATAATGCATGAAAATAGGGTTTGAAATGAAAGGTACTACACTGTATGCATTATTTTATTGTCTTACTTTGGCATGGAAGAATGACTTCACCAGCTGCTGGATCACCAACACTACTGCTATCGACCATTTAATGAGTGTGTGAAGGAATGTGCTTTAGGTACCTACCAACTATGGATCTGGATGACTAAAGCCATTTTCTGTTGCCTTTTATTTATTTTGAAAGCAATATTTATATATTTAAAGATTTGTGTTATCATATTTAGTCTTTACATTTTATATGTGTATTTGTGTGTTTATTCTCAATACATTTTTATTTTCATCTGTTCAGTTGTGATTGTAGCAGATATAGTAGCATCCTGTTCGAAGGCCAAAGTCACTTCTTACCCAACCATCTCCTCTGTCCTTGGTTTTCTTCATGTGGAAACTGTTCCACAGTCATTATTTGTCATATATGTTTGCTTTACAATAAAAAGTCTGTCACACTTTATGTTTTTATTCAAATGTTTTATTTAACTTGATCAGGCTTCCTCAGCTCTTTAAACCACATGTGTCAAACTCAAGGCCCGGGGGCCAAATCAGGCCCGTGGTGGATTTAATTTCGGCCCGCAGGATAATTTTAAATTACTATTAGATCTGGCCCGCCGGTATATTGCACGCACACCTTCACTCAACCCTGAGGATTTCCTCAGCTCAGAGCCTGAGCCCAAACATTGATGAACTTGCACCCAAGATGAGATGCCAAGTATCTGGCTTAAATTAGCATCACAGAGCAGCAAACTGATTTTCTTGAGACAACAGGGCATGTTTGGTTTTTTCTTTGAGGGAAATTGTTTTTTTGAAGCTGTTGTTGGCCTGTGGAAAAATGTAATCATAAGAAATGACTCTGGAAAAGCTGCAGATAGAGCCATAAGAAATGAATGCAACTGATTATTTAATGTTTAATGTTGCTTTTATAGGCAATCATTTAAGCTTTGTTAGTTCCAGGTTTAATATGTGCAATAAGTTCACTTCAATAAACATTGCTATAAACATTGAACCAGTCCGGCCCTCGACTAGCACCGATTTTTTATTTTTGGCCCACTGTATTTGAGTTTGACACCCCTGCTTTAAACAGAATGAGTAACAACATTCAAACTTGTGGACTTCGATTTTCTGCTATTGCATGTGGCATTCTAAATTATAGCACATGCAGGAAGTCATTTACTGAGAGAAACCTGTAAAGGGGAACTCCACCTATTTTACAATCAGTCTTTTAGCAGGTTTTGGGAAGAAATACTCCATAAACAGTGTGTGGGAAAAAAAGCAGTTTGAAATATTTGGTGACTCCAGATGGAGCTGTTTGACTAGGGCTGTTGAATCCGTATAGTCTAGTAAGCTTGTTAGTGGTTGGATTGCATTGTGGGTATTGTAGGCATTATCAGTTTTGATTCTTAAAAATAACAACACAACTGCCCATCGTCAGTCTGATAATGATAAGTCTTTTTACTTTATCGGAACCAACAGCTGTAAATAACACAACATTAATAAAGTAAAAGACAAATCATCATTCTTATACATTCAAATAATGCTTAAGATTAAGATTAACTTAATAATTTTCATTTGGTTCTCCTTTGTTTAGAAAAACCCTAAGGCCCTTTTATAGCTATACCACAGCTCTAATTACATGTACAATATATGTTGCATCCCAGTTTCATCTGAATCTCATGCATGCCCAAACACTGCTGCGAGGCCAGCCTGAAGTTTTGACTCTGGATGTTGAAGTTTGACCTATTTCAGTGTTCCATTCCAGTTAATGGGGTTGAGGCAGAGCATCTCTCTCTCCTTTAGGGTCTCCTGGGAGCGTGTTAGTGCTCTGTCCCTCCAGCTCTGCTCCATTAGCTGCACACACACCAGAGACACACAGGGGAACAAACTCAAACACTTCCTATATTGTTGTAACCTGAGCAGATGCACCATGTTAAAGCATTATCATTACACTGTGAAGGCATTAGCAGTGGATACATAATGTATGTCGTGTTGGACTGTACCCTCTTGTTCTCATCTCTGTAGGCTGTCATTGCTTTGCTGTGCTGGATCCTTAGCTCTCTTTCACCGGACAGTGCGAGGCGGTCCACTTCCCGTAGATTCTCGGCTTCCTTCACTTTACTGGCCACATGTAGCTTCAGTGATATGCATTTCTCCTCCATCTGCCTCTTTAAATGCTCTAACAACTCTTTCCTAAAGGAACAAATAATTGATTTTCTATGTCAACACTGAATTTTCATATTCAGTATGTAATGTTTAGAAGATTTTAGAGGATAAGAGAAAGAGACTCAACAGTTCAGAAGGTGAAAGTGTTTAATTGTACCTGTAATCGTCTCTCTCACTGCTGGATCCATAAAAAGGTTTTCTCCACACTTGATGATACCTGAAACATCAACTACATGTCAGTGACTTTTGACCTCAGCTCTTCTAAAAGGTCGCTAAGGCATTAGTGATTTTCAGTTTTAATAAAATGGTAATGGGGAATTGTTCAGATGCTCCTACCTCTGGTGCTCTCTCCTCTGCATTATCAGTGTCCTCTGGTGGTTGTGGTGGTGAACAGCTGGTGTCTCCAGGCTGATGATGCGTTTATGAACCAAAGGTGGATGTAAAGGGTTCAGTCTTGGGATACTCTAGAAAGCAGATTTATGAACTTTTATTTGTTCTTAGCTCAAACACTTTATTCCCTTGAGACAGTCAGACAATAAATCTCTGCTCACCTGACTGCTTGCCCAGAGCCGGGCAGAATTTGAGATGCTGGGAAATGTAGTTTGGGTGACCACCAGACAGCGACTCTGCCGGACAGGAAGTGTGTCTTGAGGAATACACACTGGGGTGGAAGCTATGGAGATAGCTGCTGTGGTGATGAAGGTTTAGAAAAACAAAATCACAGCACATGTTTAAGATTTTACTAGTCACACTAAAATAGACAACAAATAGAAAAATGGTTTTGTTTCCTTACGTAGTCTCATTTTGTAGTTCAAGCTGTTTCTTCTGTTCCTCTACCTGAGAACTTTTTGTAGAATGAAAATTCTTAACGTGTTAAAAAACCTGAACAATTAAATAGTTTTCTTAAACCAGCACATTATGATTTCTGGTAAATCATAACACAAATTGAAATATAGCAAATTAGTGCAGCAGCACTAGTTAGAGATTAACTGTGACATGCCTGTGCATTCACTGAGTGTTTTGCGTTGGCAACAGTTGCCTTGGGAATCAGGTTACCCCCCCTGTCATAAAGAAAGCTGCTGCGTAGACTGTAAAGACATGCATCAGTGCACTCAAAGAGAAAGATTATTAGACTGTGACAGTAGATGAACCAGATACAGTCGGAAGATGTCTCCTGATCTCATCTATATATAAAGACATGGAACAACATAACCAGTCTGGTGACTGAGTGAGTAATGCACTCATGACTCATTTCAACTTTTAAACTACTTAAAACATTTTATTACACGTTAAGTAAAACTTTTTAAAAGTACGGAGACATTTCAGTGCATACTTATAGAGACATTCAGGTATAACAAATCAATGCAAGTTCATCATAATACTAATCTTGAAATGGTTTATGTGATGTAACTGATTTTCATGCTTGTTTCCACAGCAAATCTTCTTTGCAGTTCTTCATATTTTGGATTTCAGATTCCAAGTATTTCATGGTTCTCCCATAGCCAGTCGTGGTATTTGTTCAGCATGTGATCTTCAGGTTTCACCTTTGACATACAAATAGGATTAAATGTCACATTTGGCATTAATGAACATTATAAAACAAACAAAAACGTTTGGATTTAACTGACCACTCTCCACTCGTCCACACAGAAGATCCTATAGGAGTCGTTTCCGTACTTCCCAATACCGTACAACTCAATGGGGTAACGCCACTGTTTAGTTAGATACTCATCTACACAGGAGAAAATGGATTGTGAGGTATTTCTGGCAACTAGTATTGTATCATAGCTAAACCATACAAATCTACAGGAACAACATATTATTACTTCAATATTACTGAAATAACTGAGCACAAAACTGGAAGCTGTTATCCATCATGTATAAAAGAGCAGCACATTCACCTGAGAAGCGTACAAGTGTTTTTGCTCTGAGCTCATACAGGCCTAGTGGCTTCATTAGTTCAGACAGGGGCTTCCAGTCGGCCTCCCGGGTCACCTCTGCAGACGGGCAACGTTCAAAGAACTGCCACAGCACTGGTATGGCCATCTTGCCTGAAGAATTTTAAAAAAGGAAGAGGAATTTTTGTCTGAATTCCTGGTTGATACAATACTGTTGCAATTAGGGATGCATATCGTTGGCTTTTTTACGATACCGATACCTACCGATACCTACCGATACCTACCGATACCTACCGATAACGATACTCTCGACCGATACATATCGTGATACTTTCATGTTGCATACGGGAAAAATTGAAGCGCTTTATGATATAGTTAACATGTCAAATGAATATTACAATTAATTGTGGGACTTCAACCTTTTAGTACTGAACAAACAATGAAAAACACGTTTGACAATACAGGCTTGAAGACTGTACATTCCTGTACTCTGATTTTATGTGACAGTAGCAAATGTTTTGAGAGGTTGGATGTGTTGCTGCCTTTCCCAGAAATAAACGTATTGCAGTGGTTACAGACCCCACCATTCAGACTGGCAGTCATATGCAGCCACAATTTAGATGTTCGTGCCGACATCGAGCTAATGAAAAAACGAAAGCTAACCGAAAGGCTCAGACGTTTGGGAGGAAGGTGAAGGGCGTTGCTTGGCAATCAAGCCAATCACCGAAGCCGTTGCAAGACGCGCAATCTGATTGGCTGGCGGTTTGGGCGTGAGTTTAAGGATATTACGCCTCACTTTATATATTAAAAAAACGGATCTGATTTCGGTATGGTATACCGTAGCCGCCAGTAACCGGTATTTCGGTAATACCGGGAACCGGTATGCACCCCTAGTTGCAATGCAATGTGTGTATGTTGGATCTTACCACTGGTCTTATTCAGAAAAATGGTGGCCACCAAAAGCTTCCAGGTGTCGTGGAAAAGTGTTTCCTGTATGAGGTTGTAGGGTGAGCGGGGCGGTGTCCACTTCTTGAAGGCCTTCCTCCTGGGGGGGCTAAGGTCTGTGTATGGACAGTGTACATATCTTCTTAAATGTTAAGGTATACTTAATGTATCGTATACAAGTATACACAAACTTTCATTTTGCTTCTTTTATAAACAATTTAACATTACCATCACTGGGGTGTTTCCTTTTAAAATAAGGGCTTGTTTTGCGTTTGTCTTCCTTGGACCCTAGGCAAACAGGAAACATGTATGTATATTTTATTTAAAAAAACATATTTGTTATGATCTATACTGTCAGACTTCTTCATCAAGACATATATTTCAAATACTTGGTGGGAACTCAAATGAATCACACTACTCAGTTGTGCATTTTTGTTTGAGGCCCTCTGTTTTAACTGATCATACATGCTAGAATTTAAAAAAGTTTAAACTGCTACCATTGCACACTGTCAGACATTGCAGATCATACTTACTATTCTGGGAATCTTTCACTGGTGTGCAGCTCCCACCAGTGGTGTCAGGTAACAACACCTCCTCTTCCTCATCCTCAGCATTTGCCTCCAGATCAGAATTAGATTTGTTGGCACCTTTGCTGTGAATCTGCAGCTCATCTCTGCCTCGTTCATCCTCACCCTCATTCTCACTCTCAGTGGCAGGTTCAACATTCACTTTGACATCATCCTCTTTGGTTAAAGGTGCTTTTATGAAGCTCTTCACACATGCACTTTTGACTTTTCTGTCTTTAGTTTTACTTCTGAGGGAGGAAGAGGCTTTTTTAGATTTATTAGGAGGTGGATCCAGTATTTCTGTTGCATCTTCTTTTGTCTCCTGCGGTGCACCTGCATTTCTTTTCTTTCTTCTCTTCTGTTTCACTTGAGAGGGGAGTAATTGCGAAGGGGTGAGAGCATCGTCCTTGGGTGCAGTGAAATCAAAGAGGTCTATTTCTAGGTTCCCTTCTCCATTTTTTATGAGGAAAGCATGCAGGGATGCTCTCGACCGAAACCTCTGCCCTTGGGGACTGACACAACAGAGGGAAAAATAACATTACACACTCAGCAAACTGATCGGAAAAACACTTATTCATGATTCACGGTATGTTTAAAAGAAAACGATGACACACCTTGTAATGTAGATGTCCATTTTGCCGGCTGTCTTGCCTGCTTTACGCTGCCTAACCTCTCTGATCCAGCCAGGGGGCAATGTGGAAGTGTGGCATGAGTCATCCTTGTCATTATGACTTTGGTGGAAATCACAGCCAGTATGCATCATGGTAGGTATATTACTGTTGTTATTGAGCCCGGTTGATAGAGTGTTGGATTCTGATGTTGTATACTCTGTTGAAGCTTACGGCCTTCAGCTCATTGTCCGACTTTTTACTCCCACATCAGCAGTCATTCCTGGTCTGTGTCTTCTTCACCTTACATCTAGAGATAGACATATAGGAATTAAATCCTCCTGACAGAAAGGGGTTATACATTGAGATGGCAGCAGAAAGGAAGGACCTCCTGTAGTAGTCCTTGTCATAGCAAAGCTGAAATAGTCTCTTAGTAAAAGTGCTTCACAGTTGGATCGAGGGGTTGTTAAAGGGTGTCGTGTTTTCCATTAGGCACAATAGTTATAGTAGTATCCTCTTTCTCCATTGCTGCCTCTAATGGCTGCAAGGAGGGTTCCAGGAACAGATGATGACACAGGCCCATCATATTGCCATAAAAGGAAAAATGTTTTCTAAAGGCTGGTAAAAGATCTGAAACATATAGTTACACATTTCAAATGACCTGGATTTCCTCGGTAGGTAGAGTCCTCTATTTATTTACCTGTAGGTAGCCTATTATTACAGTAACACATTGATGAAATCCATGTATTATACTACATAGAATAGATACTAGATATACTACTGTCCCCGGTAGGGTTTTTACAACATCTGACTTTTTTCCATTCAAATGTATATTGTGAACAATCTGTCATATATAAATGAATCTTTAAATGGTATGGATAATTAGGACACATACCTTTATAACAAATGAGTTGGTGCAGATCAAATAATACCTGTAACGAAGAGAAATGCAAAGTGTTAAAACTGTCCCCAGTGTCACATAAAGTGCATGTATGGCCATGTATATCACTGAGCAGCACATGTTCATATAATAAGCAGCAACAAAAGTGTAACTTACCTGGAAGTACTTTGATTCTCACAAAAATGCAGCTCCCCTCTCTGTATACGGTATATGCATGGGGAAGAGTCACTGTTGTCTTGGCGCATACTCTCCGATGACAACAACATTAGGCTCCTCCAAAGACTTGCCCCGCACACAGGAAGTAGCGCGCGGATCCGAGTCTGCGCAGTAAGAGCGACTCATCAGAACTGTTTGGTATGAAAAACCAACCTGTTGATACTAAACCCATCGCTGATTTGTTTGCTTTTTAAAGGTGGAAATGAGAGCCGTTCTAGCGTGGAAAGAGACCATTCGTGAACAGTGGTGAGAGCGTTGATGTTCTTTCTTGTTGTGATTACGTTGTCAACCTGGGCCGGATGCTGGGATGTAACGCTAGGTCGTTAGCAACGGCGGTTGCTATGTAAACTAGTGTTAGCCAGCTAGCATTAGCCCACAGCTATTTCATGTTCGTTTACTCTTGGTAGAGACCCTTACGCTGGTTTATGGTTATTGTATCTTAGTAGTTAGGCAACATGTGTTCTATCAATAGTGTAGCATGTCGGCTTTATTATGTCGCACGATATAACGTTAAGTCAGAGCTAATGTTAAGCTAACAGTTACTTAGCTCTAGGTCTTATTTCTGCACATCATTGCTTGCTGTGCATGACATAACGTTACATTTTTATTTGTGCTATTCTCAAATAGCATACATGCTATGTTACCACTCTGAATTGAAGATAATGTGTTAGCAGAGGTGGAAGAAATACTCAGACATTCTCTTAGGTGAAAGTACCATTACTACAGTATAAACATACTCTAAGTAAAAGTCCTTAATTAAAAAATGTACCTAAGTAAAAGTACAAATGTATTGGCGTCAAAAGTACAAAAAGTAAAATGGTGTTATTGTATTACAATTATGAATGCATTAATGTCAATGTTGCACTTGGTAGAGGTTGGTTTATTTGGGTTGTATTACTTTATATAACTGTTAGGTAGCCAATCCTATAATAAAACATGATTTTATTTATTCTGCATTAGTTATGTTAATCTACAAAGTAGCTAGTAACTAAAGCTCTGAAATAAATGTAGTGGAGTAAACACTTTAAGTAAAAGGCCTCCAAGTTGTAGTAAAGCAAAAGTGTAAAGTAGCATAAAGTGAAAAAACTCAACTGAAGTACAAGAACCTCATATTTGTGCTTGAGTACAGAAGTTGAGTAAATGTACTGAGTTACTCTGTCTCCACCACTGTGTATTTGGATTTAAAAGTTAACTTGACTTTCTTTAGGAAAGCATTTCTGATATATTCTTAATTTTGCAGTTTATGACACGTTAGTGGACCTTGTAATGAGATTCTTTCCCCTTTTTATTTGTATTTAGCTATTTCCAAGGTAAACATTGGACCTTAAAAGTAATTTACATTATTGATAAATCTGTCAGTTACTTTTAAAATAAATAAATATTAACACTTTGTTTATGAAAAAGGGTTTTTTCAACAAAACATAATAAAAAAACGGTTCTATGAATTGTTCAAACTATTTAATACAAAAAAACAACGAATCAATGTATTTTTTTTTGCAGTGTATATGACCTTGCCTTTAAGCCAGATGGCACCCAACTCATCATTGCCGCGGGGCTTCGTGTCCTGGTAAGACGTTCATGTTTTCTTTGGACAAGGCACATATTCACAGAAAACATGCAATATTATAACAATAAATGTATTGCACTTTTATTGCAGGTTTATGATGTGGCAGATGGAGCTATAATCCAGCCTTTAAAAGGACACAAAGACATAGTGTACTGTGTGGCCTATGCTAAAGATGGTACTCCACTGGCTTTTTTCCACTTGTACACTACATTTGTATTTCTTATCAGTCATTATTTTTATCTTACTAACTACTGCATTCTTCTGCAGGGAAGAGGTTTGCTTCAGGGTCAGCAGACAAAAGCATCATTATCTGGACCTCAAAACTGGAGGGTATTTTAAAATATACGTAAGTGTGACTTTTACACATCAATGTCGTTTCATGCATCCTCTGCATTGTGTATTACTACATATTTTGTTCCTTTCATGCTCTTTTCTGCAGTCACAATGACTCTATCCAGTGCGTTGCCTACAACCCTGTCACTCACCAACTTGCCTCCTGCTCTTCTGGTGACTTCGGTGAGTGTTTGAGCCTTTACTGTACTTTAATATGTCATGCTTACTATTCTATAAACCAAAAAATATTTTCCCCCATGGAGCGCTGGAAATCAGGGTACCTTATTTTATATTTTCAGGTCTATGGTCCCCCGAACAAAAATCTGTGAACAAACATAAAGTTAGCAGCAAAATAACATGTTGTGGGTAAGTAAAGTCCCTTGTTTGAACAATACATTGGTACACTTGAATGGGACACTTGAATATTGAATGATTTAATTTGATTAAAGGTGGACGAACGACGGACAGTACCTTGCCCTCGGCATGATGAATGGAGTGGTGAGCATTCGGAACAAGAATGGAGAGGAGAAGGTCAAGATAGAGCGCCCAGGAGGCTCCTCTTCTCCTATCTGGTCCATAGCCTGGAACCCCTCCAAGTTAGTCTTACTTAGTTCTTGCACATGCAATTGTACAATAAAGAGCATGTTTTTTTATCTTCACCAATGTATTTCAATGTAATGCCTCACACTGCCACACACGTTTACACTGTCCTTCCATATCCCAACATTTATAAAGGAATGTGTTCTGTTGAGAGTCAATAGCTTGTGTGGGGCCTGCAGGTGGCAGTGGTTAACCAGGGAGTATTGGAACTGTTTCGGTGAGGGAGAGGATTATATGTGTGTATATACTATGACAATGTAAATGATAAATACAATGTCATGAAATGCAATTACAATTGTTTAGGATAAAACATGGTTGTTAATATCCAATTCTTTGGGGAAGGGCTTGACTATGCATCCATCAGTTGAAGGGTAGCCTCTGCTTTTTTTTTTTAACAGTGTTATCATTTTCTAACCAAAGTACAGTACAGTATGTTGACAGGAGTACTTATTTCTAAAGCCATTTTTGTTGTGTTTTCACAGGGATGAGCACAATGACATTCTGGCTGTGGCAGACTGGGGTCAGAAGCTGTCCTTTTATCAGCTCAGTGGAAAGCAGGTGAATACCAAAGGTCTATGGAATACAAATCCCAAATTCATGCATAAAATGTACAGTTTACTGAGTCTTCCCCATGCCTAAGTTCTAATACTGCAGGCTCTTTCTCCTCTGCCACTTCAAACCGTTGAAAAGGACTTTTAAATAAGTAAATGTAGTCTCATTACCTTGCATGGGAACTACCATAAGATTGATAGCATTTTGAACCACTTAACTGCTGATTGTATGTCCCATCACTTGCTAAAGCAATAAGAAACAAGAATATGTGTTTTCAAAATATATATGGTATTTATATGGTATTGGAAACATTTAACTGACTTTAAGACCTGTGTTTCCTGTTGTAATCAGACTGTCAGGCTCTATTGAAACCATAACAGTACATTGGAAGTGATCCTGCTATGCTTTAATAGCCCCCTCGCTGTCCCTCCTTCCCCCTAAATTCCCTGTGGGCAGTACCGTAATTATAGACAAATATGCACTGTTCATTACTCTGCCGTTTTGCCTTAGCTCATATATTGTCATCGGCCTTTTTATCTATTTAAGTGAACATTCCATTTTTATTACAGCAACGGGAATTGTTTGCAATGAAAGAAAATAACCATGGATTGTCGGCCAGCTTTTTTCCACAGTGAGGAGAAACAGATGCAGAGTTGGGACTCATGTGTTGTGCAAACAGACTTCAAACATTAATACAATAGACATTGTTTAAACCAGAGAAAAACTTTTTTGTCTAGCATTTGATCAAACACTCAAAGGGATGGTTGAAGAGTACTTTGATGTCTGTCAGCATAGACGGTGGGAGGTGTTGGCCCAGACCCCTGGGCAATAGATATGAAAAATAATACTTATTTGTTTAATGTCCACCTCTCCTTTGTCTCTCAGATTGGAAAAGACAGGCCTCTCACCTATGACCCTTGCTGCGTCAGCTACTTCTCAAAGGGCGAGTATATTGTCATGGGGGGCTCTGACAAACAGGCCTCCCTCTACACTAAAGACGGCGTGCGGCTGGGCTCCATCGGAGAGCAGAACGCCTGGGTGTGGACGTGCCGGGTTAAGCCTGACTCCAACTTTGTGGTGGGTCCACAGCTTGTCAAGCTATATGTCTAACAAATGTATCACTACCATTAACTAATAAGGTGGTGGAGGTGTTTTATGAAAATGCTGAAAAAGCTTTGAGCAGTCTGCATTTGAAACATTTTGTTGATCGGATTTAGCCACACAAATACAGAAGGCATTGGATTCAGCAGTAACACCTTGCCAACTTTTCCTCTCACTACGTTTAACTGTAAATGATGGGGCGTAACATTGAGAATTTGTAGCTGGCAGTTCTACTGTTAAGATGCTTTCACAACAGGAACATTTTCCCACTCTCACAGTCTTTTCTTAGAGGTGTTAATAGGATGTACTGCTATATTTGTTATCTCTTATCTAGGTGATGGGCTGCCAGGATGGGACCATCGCCTGCTACCAACTTATCTTCAGCACAGTTCACGGCCTCTACAAGGATCGCTATGCTTACAGAGACAGCATGACTGATGTCATTGTCCAGCACCTCATCACTGAACAAAAAGGTGCATATTTGCTTCAGCACCAGGATATCTAGTTTATAACAGAGGATCTTTTGTGATGCTAAATAATTATGTGTGTGTGTCTTGATGCAACACAGCTGCCATGATCAAGGGTATAAAGAAATGTCTATTTGTATTTTTTCATATAAACCATATCTGTCCTAATAACATTCATCCAATTATTTTGTTGTAAGGCATCTCATTTCAAACTTCATATACAGGTTTTTTTTTTATTAAATGAGAGAAAGCAGTCTTTCATTTTTTTTTACAAATAGGGAAAAGCAGTATGACAGCATCGCTGGGATTGTAACAATCAGCCCTGAAAACAGAATTTCAACAGAATGCATTAGCTATGAAAATGACACTTTATCAACAAGTCCGCTCTTTTCCTTCATCTCCTTCTTTCCCTAGTGAGGATAAAGTGCCGTGAGCTCGTGAAGAAGATCGCCATTTACAGAAACCGTCTT